CCAGAGAAACTATTTGTTCTTCAAACTGCATTCAAAAATAAACTAGTTGCCCTAACTGATCATAAATTTAACAGTACATCGTGGAACATATGGCTTGGAAGAAAGGCTTGGAGGTGTATTCCTGAGAGATCAGATCTACTCTGAAAATGTAGTTATAGTATGAAACACCCGAGGTCACCCTCAGTTGATTCAATTTGGTGGCAACTGTTTGTTTACTTGTTTTCTTCCCTTCCCTCTCTCCTCCCTTCCCTTATTCCTTCCTATTTAGCAACCATCTATCTATCCACCTATCATCTTAGTAAATAAGCAGTAAGCTCCAGAACTTTGTTTCTTATTATTCTAAAACAAACTTTGGAATAAAAAAGAATGTACAGAAAGGCAATATTACAGCTATACCAATCTCTGTTGCTCCGTTTCTTGAGGAATCATCATTTTTTATCTCGTAGGCACCACTTAGTAAATGCAAGGTCCTTCAGCGGACATTTTCCCAACTAGTTTGAAACAGTAAATTTAAAAAGACACACATGTGCAGCTAGTCTGTTGGGACAAAATGTAGAACCATTTGTGGTCACATTCAGGGAAGTTAGAAATAAGATTAATGCACTTCAATGAGAATTGGAGACTACAACAAGAATAAAGACCCAAAGAGGGGGCCAGCCTACCTTCTTAGCAAGGTCAGGAAAAACTCTCAGGTAGAGGCAAGACATTTCTCAAAAGGGGTTTGGAATGGGCGGAAGCTCACAGACAAGGGAGTCTCAAAGCCTCACGAGTGTGACCATACTCACTTCAGTATGGAAAGTCTATGTATGATCAAGTGTCTTACTTGGAAAACATCAGCAACACACTCATTGAGCCTACAACTCATAATAACATAGCTTCCTGGTGCTTCTTCCAAGGTAAACTATTTGTAATTTAAAGACCTAGAAACTGACTACAAGATCAATTTGCTATAAAGGACTAAATAGAAACCAGGCCATATTTTAGAGAGGAGGGGGAAAGATTCTGCCAATTCTTTAAATAGTTAAATAAAAACTCCCCAAAATCTTGCTGTCATTGAGTGTATTCTGATTTGCAGTGACGCTCAGGACAGAGTAGAAATGCTACATTTGGATTTTTGAGCCTATCAGTGTACTGGAACCTATAACCTTCTACTCATTTTCCTCCTCAAGAGTGGCCGGTGAGCTGCAAGTGCTGATCTTGTGGTTCCCAACCCAACTCGTGACTCACTCACTACCACCAGAGCTCCAAATAATTAAACAGAAGGTTGCCTTATTTAAAATCACTGCCAGTGCGTGGACATGTCAGTTGTAACGGGGGAGTGACTTTGGTTTTTGAGAAAGATATTCTCCTCTTACCCGTCAAAGGAAAGACAAGGCCCGATTATCTAAAATACATGAACAGAGGGGTCATGGAGAAAACACAACTTAGACTATATGTGCAAACAATGTTAAAAAAGATAAAAGTGAAGGAAGGCAATGCTTCAACTTACAAAAGAATGTCAGAAAGTGATTCTAGCTGGTATAACTACATCATACAAATAATTGCCAGTTAACCCAAGGGCCATTTGTTCTGGATTGAGGAGAGCTAAATAACTTAGACTCTCTCTCAAAGTCAAACTTAGCTACATCTCATGTGTCAGCATGAATTTAAAAACTACATAAGCCAATATAAACCACAGTCTTTTGTTGTTTTCTAAAGCAGAAAATTTAATTAAAGTGCTGTCAGCACTTCAGTTCCAGGGATAGTACATTTTCAACAAATGCTTTATATACTACTATATGTGGTAGTTACACAATCTGGTGTCAATTTGAGGATTCAGAATGAAGGGGTAGAGTCTAGCCTGTCAATCAGGTAGTAGCTTGATGACCTCATTTGGAGGCGCTAAGGAGATGAATAGCTCGCTGGAGGTGGGACACATGCTCATTCCCTGTGAGACATCTCTGTGGAGAAGGCACATTGAGAGAGGTTGAGGGAGCCAGATTTCTGGAGCTGAAGGAAGCACATGAAGACCCCTGCCAGCGCTGAGGTGCTTACAACGCCATTGGATCCACAAGACTTCCCACCCACTGGCCTGTGATCTTCCTGCATTTGGCATCATTGCATGTGCTTCATGAGTCTAAAGAGGACTTTATAGATTGGTATTGGACATATGGGCTATGGACTTGATCTGGACTGGGCTGGAATGTTTTCTCAATATTCAACTGCTCTTATATATAAAGCTCTTTATTATACACATATGAGTGTCTATGAATTTGTTTCTCTAGTCTACCAAGACTAACACGTTATATATGTGTGTGTATCATATATGTGACCATTACTGTACAAATGGACTATTATTAAGATCTCCTCGGAGAACAATCTTGCATTCATGTAATTCTGAACAGTTGAACATATTTTGTACAGATGAGAAGATACATTACTTTAGGATGTGAATATTCATGTAAATCACCATTCTTTCCTTTAAGACAGTCCTACAAATATTTATTTCACTAATTTCAAGAAAATGAATCTTAAATAAAATCTAAATTTAATAAAGTAAACGGGGACTCTTCTGATTTTAATTTAATTTCACAAACAAACCTATTTTTGGACAAAGTATTAGATCCTTGGAAGTATGTTTTCACATATATATAAAACCTTAACTACATTGCCATAATGAAAAGGAAAAGTACATTAAAGTTTCTAAGTCTGAGGAAATTCTGCAGGCTGCACTCCTTTTATATAGACAAAATAGAATGAAGAAACAAGAATCCTACAAGAACAAGTACTATCCTAAACAGACAACTTGTCTGTCATTCAAGGTAGTTAAGAACTGAAATAGGGAGCTTGGAGATACATTTAGACTGGGCTAAGAAAATTGTGATCTATAGATGAAAAGTAGAAAAGTGAAAAAATTTGTAACTCTATCGGGAACAAAAGAAGTAAAGAAAAACTAACATACTTTTTAATTTGGGAAGAGAAAGAGGAGGCTAGGTAACATAGACACATCTTTACAAACATGCAGTTTCCATTCTAAGAGTAAGCACTAGCATGTGTAGAGCCAAAGGATTTAAATGTACTAATAAAAGCACAGAAAGGAAGGAATTTCCTGATCATGTGAATTGCTCATCCTTGGTCATATTTTCTTAGAGACCCCATGAACTTCCCTTAGAGTTCTTACAGATTTTCTTTCTACACCAGATGTAGCAGTTACCTTCTGGTTTTTTTTCCCATTTTAGACACCTCAGTGTTTCAGCATACAGTACCATCCCCTAGGGCGTTCAGTGGTTATGATTTTTCTGACGTCACCTACCAGGCCTTTCTTCAGAGGAGCCTCGGTGTGGACTAGCACCTATAACCTTTTGCTTATGAACTGAGTGCTTGTCTCCTTGCATCACCAAGGGACTTCCTCCATTGTATCCTGCTCTTAGTAAACACAATCGTCCTGTGGCTAACGAGTTAGCATGCGGCTATGTGAAGGGAAGAGAGAAGCAATGTCAGGGAGCTCACAATTCCTGAGCACCGGTTTTGTGCCATTTGGTACCATCGTCTTTATAGAAGGGAATTTCCTAGCCCTCAGAATACATGCCGAGTCCCGGCGAGTCGGATGTTGAAGACGTCAGATAATGCCATAATCTAGGGAGGGTTAAGAACTTAGCCTGGGTTGGTCTGACACCCCACTCCACCCTTTTTGCTATGCCAACCTGCCTCCCAGGGCGAGTAGGGAGTGTGTTTGAATGGCCCATCATCTTGTCCAGATGAAACGCATTGGTTGTCTGAACTGAACCCACTGTGACCTTTTCTAAGACAATGACATAATCTTCCTTACCTTTTGGTTCATGAGAGCAGGAGCATCACTTAATGAATTGGCCCAATTTATGAAGTCGGTCACATCAACGGCGTTAGATCTTTTGCGACGGTTTTCTTTTCGCTTGGGTGCAAATGTTCTGGTCCCTCCTCTTACGAAGGAAATAACATCTTCTATAAATTTATCTTGATTGATGTTCACTGAGAAAAGGAGACATCTGTGAAGTGTTTATAAATGTGTGGTCAG